GAAGAAGGATGGGACAGAACATATATGCTGGATGCACATTGAGAATTAGTTCTAGCATTTAGTGTGATTGCTTTAGGCCCCAGATTCAATTTAAATGAAACCCCATCTTCTCTGCCAAAAATAATACAAATATCCCTGACTCATTCCATCCATACAGACTTTGCCTTTGGTGATTCTCCAAATTGTCTTTGCAGCAGCTGTAGTGTACCAATTAAGTATGAAACATAACTGGTAACCAGACCCCCCCCCCATAAGCAGGATCACTTATATTCAAACCAGAGTTCAGTTATCCTTACAGTTTAGCCTTTTCTACAGATTTCTGCTCTCCTGGCTTGGGTTTTCCCGTCTTATTTCATGTGGAGAACTTCTAATAGCCAGGCAAATTCCATTTAGATCAAGACTGGCATATGTGTCCCTGTGGCCATTTGCCAGAGGATGTTTGCATCACAGGACAGTCCCAATCAAGATCGCTTAATGGCACTGCAACCCTCATCCAAATGTTAGGAGATCTTGCATCCTTTGCTGCATGTCTCTAAGCTTCATCTTAACACTTGGGATTGCAGAGGAGCTAAGACACCTTCTGTTTGCATCCAACCATTGCTTCTGTCTAAGTGAGGATACACAGGAGTCTCTTCTCTCCTCCGTCACTGTGTACTGTTCACTTCTCTCTACAGGTCTGCTCCAGCTCAGCCACCCGCTGAAGGGACAGAAGGGGCTGCCCCAGGTGGGGGCCCTCCTGGTCCTCCCCCTAATATGACCAGTAATAGAAGACTACAGCAAACCCAGGCACAAGTGGAGGAGGTAGGCCCCTGGCCCACTCCATGAGAGTTTCTAGACCAAGGAGCTTAGAAACAAAGCATCATCTCATCTCTTCTCCTCTTTTTCATAGGGGGAAAGGTTGTGATGGGCAAAGCATCCCTTGGATCCACAGGCCTTGGCTTGTGGTCTCCCGGGCATTGCTCATTTCCTCTGTCTCCGGTGGGGAAATCTCAGTAGCTCTGTTTCTGCAACCCCCTCAGGTGGTGGACATCATGCGTGTGAATGTGGACAAGGTCCTAGAGAGGGACCAGAAGCTGTCCGAGTTGGATGACCGGGCTGACGCCTTGCAGGCTGGAGCCTCACAATTTGAGAGCAGTGCCGCCAAGCTGAAAAGGAAGTACTGGTGGAAAAACTGCAAGGTGAGTGTCCCTGCCCTCCCTGGGAGGAGGGAGAAAACCACCAGCTTTTTGCTGAGATCTGGACCGCTCCTCGATTTGTATTACCGGGATTGGCCACCAGGGTAGGCTAGAGTATTCAGAAAGCCCTATGTAGAGGAATTTAGAATTTAGACCAGTGAAGTTTATTTTCCCAGAACGTCCCACCTGCCTCTTCCTCAGACCCCCATTAGCAACACACTGGCCCAGTATATGTATTTTAAAATACCCACAACTTCTGTAGATGCAGCAAACACTTCATAAAATTTGCCTTTCCATCAGAATTCCAAGAAAGAATGAACAGGCATCAGAACTAAACAAAAATGAGGCTGAGAGTCTTGTCCTCCTTCTTTGAGTAGAGGTCTGTGGATGACCTCGCATCTCTATCCTGTTCCTTCCTGAGTCCAAGGGCTTGTGCTCTGTTCTGTTCTGTCCTCAGATGATGATAATGCTGGGAGCGATCTGTGCCATCATCGTGGTAGTTATTGTAAGTAAGTATCGTGTGGCTGCGATGGGGTGACGAGGTGGGAAGGTCCTGGAGTCCTTTCCCAGCCCCGCCTGCCTGCCTGCCTGCCTGCCTGGGGAGTGGGGCTGCTCTGACTGAGGTATGGAGACTGCTTCTGTGGGGTCATCGCCTGGTTTGTGGGGGCAGGAAGGGCAAAAACAAGGCGATTCCTTGATGGACAAGCCTCCCCCTGCAAAGAGTCGTGGGGAGATGGCCCCTTCTGCTGAGAAGTGGGGGTGTGCTGTTTGCCATTGGCTTGGGTCCAAGGGAGACCTTGGGGCTGGGGTACCATGTAACTGCGAGGCCTGAATGTCTAGTAACGTGATGTAACCTGCCCTCTTGTTTTCTCCTGTCTCTTTTTTCTTCTTCGTCTGGGACTTCCTGCTTCCTGTGTCCAGTCTACTTTTTTACTTGAGAATGTGCCATCTCCTCCCTGTTCTCCATTGCCATCCAAGCTCATGTCTGTTTCTCTCTGTTTGCCCGCTCAACCAACTCCTCCGTCTACCTTTCCCCAGTCTAGCCCGGGCTTCTCCATCACCCATCTCCCTCCCTTTTTGTTGCATTCATTTGCACTCTCTTCCTTAACTAGAAATGCTGCTCGTGGCCCCGTCTGGAAGTCACTACCCAAAGAGCAATGTCTGACACCTCCTCCTTACCCCGTTTTTGTGTATCCCAGAGCTTAAAAGAGCTGTGGCCAAGGGAAGGAGGAGGGCGGGTATGACAGAGGTGAAGTGTCTGAGAAGCTGGCATGGCTGAGGGATGGAGAAGGGTGTTTGTGTCCATGATGTCTCCTGGAAAGGCTGGCCTTCAGCAGGAGGGGACCCAGACTAGTTGGGAAGTAGTAGCTTCCACTGCCCTCTTGCCCTCATTTGGAACTTTCCCCTCATACCAGGCCTGTCTCGGGTCCCAGAGGTCTGTTTACAGACCAGCATTGAATCCCTTTTAGAAAGGGATTTGCAGTTAGTGCTTATCTGTCAGTCCAAGGTTTTCTATATCTTTGGGGAACTTTACAGCCTTTTACTTTGTTCTCTGTGGGCCTAGAAAACAAGTATTTACTGATTTTAAAAACAGTAGGAGACTCTTATTTTCTCCTCAAAGCCGTCTCCATGCTAGAAGGAGCTGCTGCCTCCTCATGTTTCCTGAAGCATCCTACGTTGTTTGTGAGGGCACCAAATAATAGCAATCAGCTTTGACGGTAGCAGGCTTTCAGGAACATGCTTCTTGCCATCTCGTTATCGAAGTCCTCTTCCTCCCCTGCTGCCGATGATGGGAAATGAGTTTAAAATGGCTCCCACAGAACCCCTTCCTCCACACCGCTCCTGTGTTCTTGCCTGACACAGGGATGAGGCAGGAGAGCCTTTAGAGATTTACAAAAGTCCAGCAAAGCCCGCAGCTCAGTCTCGGGTGGGAGTGGGTGCCAGCCTGTGACAGGTGTGCTGTGCACTGCTGTGCCAGCATGGGGCCTCGCGTCTGGAGCTGTCTGCTTCTCTTCCTTAAGTGCTTTCTCTGGAACCATCCTTACCCATTGGAATTCTGCATTGCCTCCTTTCTTGTACTCCCTTTGCATGCTCTGTGCCCATAGACCCTGAAACCCGAGGATGGAAGCTGCTTGGTCTGTCTTGGGAGCTGCTGCTGGGGCTCATGATAGGATGCATGCTAGTGGAGGAGCGGGTGTGTGTGTGTGTGTGTGTGTGTGTGTGTGTGTGTGTGTGTGTGTGCGCGCGCTCTCAGACCTTTAGTACTTCTGTCCTCTGGCCCACAAGCAGGAAGAGGAGGGGCTGTGCTAGCCTGGGGCGCCCACTTTCCACGCAGCAGCATTTCACTCTGCAAAACCATCCTTCTTTTCCCCTTGCCCATTTCCCACGTCCCCTTCGTCCTGCCTCAGGGCAGGACTGAAGAGCTGGAAGAAAGCAGGCAGTGTACTCTGCCAACGCTCCCCTCGAAGGTCTCCACTATCCTCTGGGCTTCTCTTTGCCTAATGCGGGGAGGGGGGGGGTCACCGCTGGAGAAGACCAACACTGTCCTCGATGTACCCTGAGCCTGCAGCAAATTTACCCACCCCAGCCCTAGCTGGGGAATTCTTTCCTGGGTTTCTGTCCCTCTAAGGCTTACCAGGTGTAGTGGCTTTGTTCTTTTGGGGGTGTTAGCCCTTCCTTCCACTCACTCACCCCACTCTGGACCCTCTTCTGTGTCTTTGTGCCCCCCCCCCATATGCATGAGCAAATATGCAACTAAACTCTGGGACTTTGCAGCCAGTTGAAGCCAAGCTTCCCACATCCCCTCCTTTGGTTTGCCATGAGACGATGTGGGGTTCCATTGTGTCTGCCATCACCTCTCTGTCTTTTTCCTAACCCAGTCTCATCGTTTATGTATAGAGTAGTAAGAGTTGTATTTCCACCAAAGGCATGTGACATATTTACCAATTTCATGTATTCTCAACAAAGGTGAAAAATACAAATTCCTACCACAGCATGGACTGGATTGTTGTTTGGGTTGTCGTGCTGGGGACGGGGAGGAGAGGGTGTCGTCCTAGGTTGGCTGAAGGCCAGAAGGGCTGACTTGTGTGTGTTCTTTGGTCCCTACGTTGGCAGAGGAAGTGGTCTGTGTTCTTGGCCTTCATACCTGAAGCACCCCAGTGCTTGCAGGGGCTGGTGAGAGGAAGTGATGCCAGGAAGCTGAGTGGGCACCTCATACTGGCAAACAATTGCAGGCTTTCTCAGGCCTCTCCCGATTTCCTCTACCCGCTTGTTGTGTTTTAAGGGTTGTGCCTAGACAAGGCTTCCAGCCTGTCCTACTACCTTTTTCTCATCCTCATGCATAAGTTTGTGTCCCCCTTTTAATTAGCTTTTATTTATTTATTTTTGTTTGTTTGTTTGTTAAGACAGGGGTTTCCAGTGTGCACCATTGTGCTTGTCTCCTAAATGCTTTCTCTAGACTAAGGTCTTCTGAAATAGCAAGTTTGCTTTTTAAGATCTATCCCTATTTTAAGTGTGTGAGTGTTTGCCTGCCTGCATGCATGCAGTTACACCACATGTGTGCCTGGCACCAAGAAGAGGGCATCAGATCCCATGGAGCTGAGTTTACAGATGGCTGTGAGCCACTATGTAGCTGCTGGGAAGCCAGATCCTCTGCAAGAGCAGCCAGTGCTCTGACTGCAGAGCCATCTCTCCAGCCTCTCCACCACCTTCTTTTAAGATAATGCTCTCTGGCTTCTAAGCCCAGGGATTTTTATTGTTGTTTTTTCAAGACAAAGTTTCTCTGTGCGTCCCTGGCTGTCTTGGAACTCTCAGTGTTTATACCAGGCTGGCTTTGAACTCAGAGATCTGCCTGCTTCTGCCTTCTGAGTGCTGGGATTAAATGCATACACCACCACTCCTGTTTTTTTGTTTTTTAATTTTATTTGGGGCTGGAGAGTTGGCTCAGGGATTAAGAGCACTTGTTGCTCTTGCAGAGGACCCAGGCTTGATTCGTAGCACCCACATGATGGCTCACAACCACCCATAAACTCCAGTGCCAGATCTGATGCTCTCTCCTGGTACCAGGCATGCAGGTGGTACACATACACACATGCAGGCAAAATACTTATACACATAAAACAATAAAATAAATAAATCTGAAAAGGACTTTCAGAGGATCCAGGTTCTGTTTCCAGCACCCACATGGCAGCTCAAAACTGTGGGTGACTCCAGCCCCTCTTCTGACCTCTGCACGCTTCTGCATGCATGTGGTGCACAGACACACACTTAGACACACTTATTTTCTAAAAGATATATTTGTTTTTATTTTATCTGCATACTTGTTTTTTCCTGCATGTATGTTTGTGTACCGCATGCATGCCTGGTGCCCCAGGAGGTCAGAAGAGAGCATTGGATTCCTTAGAATAAGTTATAGATGGTTATTAGCTGCCAAGTGGGTGCTGGGAGCCAAGTCCAGGTCCTCTGGAAGAACAATCATCAGTGTTCTTAGCCACTGAGCTATCTTTCTAGCCTCCTTGTTTCATTTTTGTTTTTTGATAACAGACTTAATACCCACAATTTTTATATGCTGAGTTGTACTGTATCCACAACGTCCCTCAAGGAAACGAGCATAAGAAACTTCTTCTGCGACTGAGGGAGTGCAGCTTGAGTTTCACAAAACTCCTGGCAGCCGTCTGCAGGGTCAGAACTTTAATCTCTGATTATACAGCAGTGGAGATGTAGCCCTGGCAGGCCTCTGCTTCTTACCTTGAAACTGCAAAGTGGAGCGGCTGGGAATGGGGACCTGGGGATCTGTTGGGACTAACAGGGAAAAAGACAAAGTAGAAAAGCTTCGCGCTGTAGACAGAGAGTGTTTTTATTTTGACAGTTAGGAGTTTGTGGGCGGTGGCCAGCCCCTACCGTCTTCCGCCTCTCTTCACTTGCTCCATCCTTGACTTCAGGGTTAGCCTCCACTCAGATACTTCTACTCTCCTGTTGTTGCCTCCTTTTTCATCTGCCCTGGATCTTCTCAACAGGGATGGAAGGCAGAGACCAGGATGAGTACCTCACTCTCACAAGGGCGCCTCCTTCAGGCGCTTTTCGGTCTCACACCTCAGCATGGGGCCCCTTGGTAGCTAGAACATGGGAACTCTGCTTTTTATCTGCAGGCAAGAGAGAGGCTACCCAGAGTGCCTCTTAATCCTGGTGGGCCTTGACAAAGAAACAGAGAAAATGGAACGAATAGTTTCAAATGGGGACACAGTGGGAACATCTGGAACCCAGCACAGAGGACTTCATCCCTGGTAGGGGTGGGCAGGTACTTAGGAGTGGGTTGATCTACAAACTTACCTTGCTGTCTCCGAAGTCCCAGGAACAACAGGGCAAGAAGGAAGAGAATGCTGGCAAAGATGACTCCAAAGGCTGTTCCCTGCTCTGTGGGCGAGAAGGAGCACAGAGCCAGGTGCTGAGCCCTCACCCTAGAGCACCCCTCCCCGTAGGAGGCAAGCTGTGGTGTGGGTGCTTGTGAAGCTTCCCTTCACAAGCCGGAGGCCCTGAGGCCCTGGGCCCATGCACACAGCGGCGCCTGCGCTTGTCCAAAGACTGTACATGTATGTGTTAATGTCCTCTTCTCAATCAGGACTTTGTAGTTCGCAGACAGGGTCTCCCTGGCCGTCCCAGGCTTTGAACTTAGACTCCCGCTGCAGCCTTCTAGTGCCGCGATTATGGGCACTCACCACTATACCGCATTCCACATTCCACATTTGAAATGTTTTGCAAAAGAGATTGAGGTTATACTAGCGACTAAGGGCTAGTAGCTGGGGTATAACGTGAATTAAAACAAAACTTTAGTTTTGGGGAAGCGCATAGTCTGGTGAGCAACCAAATGATGTCTTGGGCTCTTGATATTTTCATTTTGAGGTTCATACCCTTTCCTGCTTATAACTGCAATATTCTGTGGCTTTTAGGATGAAGTTCTAATGTGTGGCCTATCAAAATTATAGGGTATAAACTTGTAAGGCATTCAGCTTGCCTGCTGGCTTCATTTTCTCTTTTTACTGTTTACTGGTAGAGAACCTTGGGCAAACTGCTCAGTGTCTGCAAATACCAGCTTACTCATATGTAAGATAAGTGCTAGACATGGTCATGGTATCTGTAGTCCCAGCTATTTAGGAGGGTGAGTAGGAGGATTGATTGGGCAGAGAAATTTGAGGCCAGCCTGAATATCAACAGTAAGACCCATTCCCAAAGATAAATAGGTGTAATGTGTGACATCATACTTAAAAGTTGAGTATTTAGAGGGTGGAGAATGGGCTAAGCAGTTAAGAGTTCTTGTTGCTCTTGCAGAGGACCTGGAGTTCCATTCCCAGCACCTACAGGGTGGCTGACAACCATCTATAACTCCAGTCCCAGGGGATGCCTGCTTCTGTCCTCTATGAATGTTACATGTACATGGTGCACTTATATTCATTCAGGCAAACACTTAAACACATCAAATATTAAAATCAGTGTAGAGTTGAGTTTACAATGTTTGTTGTGTAAATGTGCAGATGTAACTACCTTGAAGTATCATTGCCTCTTGCTTTTTCTCTCATATACCCCCAACTCTATCCACGTTCCCTTGTTCTCTGTAGGCTGTTGTACAATCTGATTTTCACATGGGCTGAGCTCTGGTCTTAAGGGCTCCCTTCCTGCTGAACTGCCTAACTGTCTGTTCTGGGTCATCTTCCCTGTGGGCCTCACTTGTCTCTCCAACTGTACTAAGCTCCTACAGGAAAAGGGATGCACGCCCCTTCCCCCCTCCCCCAGCCCAAGTGTATTATTTGGAGGCTGGGGATTCCTAGTGGTAGAGGCTGCCACTCTGGGAAAGTTAAGAGCGTGAAGGTGGAAGAGAGCAAGTTCATGAGCATCAACCGAAGGCTGAAGATGACCTGGAAGTAGGGGAGCCCCAAGCCCGAGTATGGAGGAAGAGACGGCACTCCCAGTACCTGTATGTGGGGAAACCCTCATGCTGGCTCTAAGGGGCTCTTCCAGGGAGACGTGGGCAACTTGGCAGGTGTAAGTAGCACCTGTGGGGCCAGGCTCAGCCATCACGTTGGAAGAGATGCTGTAGGTTCCCATCATGCTTTGCCTGAGGCTGGAGAAGGAGGCACCAGAGACTTGGGCTGGAATTCCACCCTGCTCCTCTCGGACCCATGTCACCACAACATCCAGAGGATAATAGCCAGTGACACTGCAGATGAGGGAGTGTGGCAGATCCTTGTTTGCCAGGTGCAGCTGTACTTTGGGGGTAGCTGGGGAAAGAATGAGGAGTAAGATTGTAGAGGCATCTGATTAGGATCTGCAGAGGAGCCTGAAGCCTCTCGAGAGTGAAGGTAGGTTGTGGAGACTGAAACTTCCCAGTGTTCCAAAGGGTTGCAGTAAGGGTCTGCCTGGATGAGGGTCATAAAGGGATGCATTTTTCTGGAATGATAAAGTCAGTGACAGGCCAACATTTTTTTTTTTTTTTTTTTTTTTTTTAGTAGAGCTGGAAAATCAACCTAGGGTCTTACATGTACTATACTGGCACGCTGCACCACTGAACCACACTCTTCCATTTGCTCCTTATCACCCCTGCAAGCCAGTGATTGCACACTGATCAGAACTGTTCCTTCTGCCTGCCCTTGTTTGGCTGCTGCCCCCTCAGGAAGTACTGGGAGCATAGCATGACAGTGTTGCTCCCACAGATCTCCAGAGAAACCAGGGATGCTAAGCATACAGGATTGTCTTTCCAATGGGAAAGATGAGAAACCTCTTCTTCCACCCAGAAAGCTGAGAATTGGGAGTGACAAATTGCCTGGTGCTCTGTGTCTTCTGTTGGGCCAGGCTATATCAAATCCCTACAACCAAGACCAGAGGTGGCTAGTAATCCAATGACCCTGATAGCCAGAGGCTCCCCCAAGCTCCCACAACCAGGACCAGAGGTGGCTGACAGCCCAGATGACCTCTACACTCTGTATGACCCAGGCCAGGACAGAGCCTTAGCTAGTGCAGGTAGCCCATCTCTAGAACCCATCTTCCCGGAAAAAATAATAAAGTTTTGATATAATTACGGGGGATTGTATTGCAGCAAGGAACTCTTTCCCAATTCGACTGTGTTTAAATTTGTTGGGAACAATCTGCCTGATATCAAACTCCCCAAGTCTGACCCAGGCTCACAAAGTGAACATGAGCTGAGTTTTCATTCTCACTTCTTGGTGGGTCGCTTCCTTGCCGAGACACCTGCGGGTTCCCCTCAAGGAAGTGGCCTAGGGAACTGAAGTTACAGATGGCCAGCCAGTGCTGCAAGATTCCGGGCTAGTTATTTCTTGGGGGAATTACGCTGGCATCAGCGAGACTCCTTATTTGACACCACCTGTGCCTTCAGGATGAAGATGGTGTTTAGGCTGTGGGAATGCATTCCTTCTCTCAGGAAATTCCCTTTGGGTTTAGATTCTAGTCTGGAAAAGACTCCCGATAGGCACCTCTCTCTCCCTCTCCCCACCATAACCAAGGCCAGGCCTTACCTAGGATGCCAAGTGGGATGTTTTGCTGAGCTCGGTACAGGGAGGTAGTGATCTGGCAGATGTAGGTCCCCTCGTCTTTTAGAGTGAGGTTGGGTAAGGCGAGAGAGGCATCCCCAGCCGCATGTAGCTGCTCAGGCTCCAGCGTAGCCCCCTTGCGCTTAGCCTGCTCCTGCCCTGCCTTCCAGCTGTACACCAGCTGGCCACTGCCTTGGTGCTGCAGCCGCCACTCCACACCAACGAGGTCCAGGCCTGGTGCCATGGAGAAACTGCAGTGCAGGGAGACCGAGGACCCCAGCGCACTACTCAGGGCTTGGGTCTCTGATGTCACCTGGAACTCCACTGTAGAGAGAAAAAAAGCTCCTCTTATGGACCGTTTTCCGCCTTGCGGTCAAATGGCCTCTGAGCTGCGGACAGACTGCTTCTCCAGCCCCCTGCCCTGGGCAGTGGTACCGACTGAGTTCATTTCCTGTCTGACGGAGCTGCGAATAAATGGGGCTCTCTCTGCAAGGGTAGCATGGCACAGGTGGGGGCCTGAACTGGCGCCCTCCTGCTTCAGTCTGCAGTGCTGGGACTGCCAACCCCACCCAGCTGCGTCCCTTGCTACTATGAGTAGCTGACTCCCCAACCAGGATATGCCCCTGAGCTCACTGTTTGGTGTCATGACTCACAGTGGCCTTCGCTTTCAGCTGTGAGCTGTAACTGTGCATGGGAAGAGACATTTGGAGGTGAGGTGTTGTGGTACCTACAGTCTAGTCAGTTCAAGGGGAGAGATGTCTCTGTTTTAGCAGGCAGAGAGGAAGTATGACAAGATGAACTGGTGAAATAGGTCTAGGCTGTGTGGGTGTATTGTTATTTCACTTATTTGTAGGGTTTTTTTTTTTTTTTTTTTTTTTTTTTTTTTGAGACAGGGTTTCTCTGTGAAACAGTTCTGGCTGTCCTAGAATTCACCCAGTAGACCAGGCTGTCCTTGAACTCTCAGGGATCCATTTGCCTCTGTTCCCTGAGTGCTGAGATTAAAGCCATACACCACCACAGTGGGAGAAACACTAAGCCACACAAGGTCTGTGGGAGACGGTGGACATCTTTCCTGATGTGTCAAGGATCATTTAGGGCCATAGGGGCGGTGAGAGTGGCAGTGCCTACCTCAGTGACTCAGTGACTCAGGAGGCATGGCAGGATCATAAGTTCAAGACCTGCCTGGGCACCTTAGTGAGATCCCCATTTCACTGAAAAGGGAGTTGCAGCTGTAGGGCAGTGGTAGAGCACTTGTTTAGCATGCGCAGGGCTGTAGGTTCAATCCTCAGTACAGGACAAAATAACAATAAAGGTTAATGTTTTAGGGTTTCCAGGGATAGGAGAGGAGCGCTCCACCTCTTCAGTGGACTTGGTTGTCTCCTTTTGGAGGCAAAATATCGACCTGGACTCTTTAGATATGTGACTATGTTCTCAGTTTCCACCATGGTAAGTGGTGGTGACTGGGAGTGGGCAAGGGCTGTTTTTCTTTTAATTAAATTTTTCGTTAATTTTACATCCTGACCAGTTTCCACTCCCTCCCTCCTCTCCTCCTACCCCCTCCCTCTGTCCCCCCTCCCATCCACTTTTCCTTCAGAAAGGGGGCAGGTCTCCTATGGGTGTCAACAAAGCAGGGCACATCAAGTTGAGTCAGGACCCCGCTCCTCCCCTAGGGCTGGGCTTTATTTATAAGAACAGACTCTGTGTCCCTGCACTCTGCTATAATTCCTGTCAAGTACCAGACCAAGCTCCTTTTTTACTGGGAGATGATAAGTGTTTGGCTAAATAAGAGAGCAGTGACAACATCTGTAGACAGAATAAATTCATATGTCATTTCCCTATGACACCCAGTGAGATAAAACTCACCTCTCCATTTTGGAGAAAATACCTGATGATCTTTATATTTTGACTCTTAAGCAAGGCCCTTCCAGTATCTCCTCTTCTGCACTCAGGATATTTAGAAAGAAAAGATGAAGGTCTAGGGGTACCCCAAGAGGACCTACATGGTAGACTATAGACTTTGTTCCTTCCTTCTATCCCATTTCTTACAACTAAAAAGAAAGAAAGGAAGGAAGGAAGAAAAAGACTTGGGGCTACCAAGATGGGTAAAGGGGCTTGCTGCCAAGCCTAGTGAACTGACTTCTGGCCCTGAGCCTGCATGGTAGAAGGAGGAACCAACTCCCACAAGTTGTCCTCTGATGCCCACCTGTGCTGTGGCATGCACACACACACACACTAAACAAATGTAATAAAATTTAAAATACAAAGGAATCTTCCTTGTGCTGCTGCTTTTTGTCTTACCTGCAGTCCTTATAGTACCCTGGGGACTCAGGGGCAGGTTCAGTGTGGGGTGCCAGGCAGCTCCAGTTTCAGCTTCTCCTAAAGTCTTCATCACCATGGAGACACTGGGGCCCCCTCTAACCTGCATGCTGATGAACCAAGCTGCACTCTCAGAAGTGGCATCTCGTGTGGCCCCAAGGAAATACTGGGAGATCTCACAGGTCACTGCCCTCCCGCTGCAGTCAGCGTGGAGCAAGGCCTCTGCCTGGGGAATCTGTACCGAGTCCACTGGGGAGAAGGGTGGCACACAGTGACGTAGGCTGGACACCCGGCAGGTGGGAGGCAGGTGATTGGTAACGGGGCTGTCCCCATGGAGGACGCCTAGGAAGGAAGGCTTTTACCTGAGGCCTCGAAGATAGTAGGTGCATCTGCGTCATCTTTGGCCACTGTGCTCACTTGGAAATCGGTGATGCCCTCTAGGGAGCCATCATCTGGCACCAGCACCTGCTTCAACACAAGCAAGGCCTTCTGCCTGTCCCCACTGCTGCCAAAGGCCCTTGGATGCCTGTCATCCGTCACCAAGAAGCAGTCTAAGACTATGTCGGTGGGCTGCCACCCTCTGTCTGCTGTGGGGGCCTCTGCAGGGAAAGTGAGGGGATCGATCACCTTCTTCCTCCACACTGGTTCCCCCCTCCCCCAAACCGCAGGCTGGTCAGCATGGAGAGTTGCCTCTGGGCCCTGCTGCCTAAAAACCCGACTTCTGGGGAGGCACCTGCCGCTCTGGCAGGTACTGGGTGGACTGGTTTAAGTTCTGGATCTGTTCTGCTCAGAGCCAGAGGGATTTGTGCTTTTAAATGTTTACAGTCCAGCTGTGGAAGACAAGGTTTTTCAAAAGGAATTCCCAGTTAAAAAAAACAAAAAACAAAAAACAAAAAACAAAAACAAAAAGAAAAAAAAAAAAAAAAAAACCAAAGGAACAAATACTGCCATGGAGGACAGGGGCTGGGCATTTGCTGTCCCTAGGGACATTGACAGACATTTTCTCATTTCCCAGCCTGCCTGGAGTCCTCTGCTTTCTGCCATTGCGGCCTCTCCTGTCCCACTCCAGGGGTCACCACCTCCCAGGTGATTTCTTTGCCCAGAAAGCCCCTTCTTCCTCTAAGGGGCAGTGCCCTCTCCCATGGAATGGTGTGTGTGTGTGTGTGTGTGTGTGTGTGTGTGTGTGTTGTGTGTGTGTGTGTGTGTGTGTGTGTGTGTGTGTGTGTGTGTGTGTTCTCAGCCTATACCCCTCTCATCTGCTGGGCTTTAAAGGCAATCGGAAGCTGTCACTGTTCTGGGTAGGTGGCTCTCCCCGGAACTCCTTTAGCTCAACGCTTCCTTCCCCCTCCACCTAGCCAGACCTCGACACTCACCAGTCCCCGCTGCCCCAGAGAGAGCCAAACAGAGCAGCAGACACCAGCTGGGCTCAGAGCCCATGGAGGCTGCTCTCAGGCTCCTCCTCGGTGGCTGCCTCCTCCACAGTTCTGCTGGAGATCCCGGGGTTCCTTTGGGCACCCTCACTTGGCTAGCAGCGCCTGCTCAGTTCTCTTTCTCTCTGTCAGTTGGCTTCCCTTTCACTTTCGCTTCGACTGCCTTTGTCGCCCGCCCGAAGCCTTTAGCAGCAGCGGCCAGAACCCTCCTCACTGCCCCCCCAGACCCCCAGGTGATTTCAAAACTCACTCGACCTCACCACATCATTTTGTTTCCCCAAGAGAAAGCCCCAAGAGAAAGCCCGAGAAAGGATGGAGCCAGAAGGTAGACCCCCAGTACTCTGGACCCTTCATCCTTTAGGTCCATGTGAAGTCCTGCAGATCTGCCCTGGTGACAACTCCCCTTCCAGATCCCTGGCCCCATGGTGAGGTGGGGTGTGGCCCGCCTGTGGGGTTGGAGTTTCAGGAAGCTGGAGAGTGGCATTGTGGAATTTCACTTTAAATTGTATTGTGTGTGTAGTGTGTACACATGCATGTGAGTGGGTATGCACAGACAGGCCTGTGTGTGGAGGGTCAGTGAGGAACTGGGTATCTTCCCCAATACTCACTCCATCTTATTCTTCTGAGATAGGGTCTCTCTCTGAACTTGGAATTATTTAGTGGCCAACAAATGCCAGTGGTGTCCTATCTACTCCACCCCTGCTCTCCCACCCCCACCCCAGCACCTCCACCCCTTGAATTATAAGCACACGGGCCACATCCAGATTTTGGTTTTTGTCCTTATTTTTTTATGTGAGTTCTGGGTATTGTTTTTTCTGATGAAGGATGCTGGAACACACCCTTTATGCCTTCTTCCCAGCCCCATTACCCCTTCCTGCCTCCTCCATTTTTTTTTTTTTTTTTTTTTTTTTTTGGAAGGAAAATAGCTTATAGAGCTTTCACAACTAACTAGAGTCCCTGGGCCATAAGACCTGTCTCTGGGTTCTGATGCTTGCCCCCACTGAGAGAACAGAACAGTATATGTGAACTAGAAAAATGAATTTATTTACAGTTTTAACTTAAACCGAGAGAAAGCCCCGCTCTCTGCTCTGCTCACAGCAGCCTCACAGCTTCTAGAGAAGATGAGACCAACGTGGGAAGTCTTTGTGTCGCAGATAGTGTCTCTTGTGGCAGGTGAAACCAGGGCTTCTTCGTTGCTTAGGTTGGTGGTCCATTCAATATTTTTTTTAATTTCATTTTTAATCATGTGCATGTGTGTCTATGTGAGTGTATGTTCTGCTTTTGTGTGTGCCAGAGGAGGGCAAAGGTATCCGATCCCCTGAAACTGGAGTTACAGGTGCTTTGGAGCCATATGAGATACTGGGAATCAAACTCTGGTCCTCCGACACAGCAATGTATGCCCCTCACTGCCGAGTCATTTCTCCAGCCCTTGGTGGGCCATTTTTGCCCTCAGCATGTGCTTTTGTGTGTTTTATAGCCAGAGCCTGGGCCTCCCCAAGCTTGCTGGACCAAACACGTTGGGGATTCTGTTCAGTCTCAGAAATCTTGTTTGTCAAGTGTACACAGGAAAGGGCCCTGATGAGCATGGTAGGGGAGAGTCCCCTGGGTGGCGCCTCAGTGGAAAGGGCCCACCCCGTGCTGGCTCAAGGGTAGGAAGCAGGCTCAGGTTTCCGGTAGTCTTCTTGGATAGGGATGGCACTGCCCTCTTCCTCCCTGGGGCAGCTGTAAGGGCAAGGCTCTTCAGGCTCTGCCTGGCTGTCTTCATCTGTGGAGAGACAATCTTGGTCAGTAGTGGGGAGAGGGATGAAGGTAAGGAGAGAAGAGAAAAGCAGGGGATGGGGAGGCAATGGGGAGAACCCGTGAAGAGAGAGTAGGGTGAAGTTGGGATGGGGCTTCAGGTGTGACTAGCAGGTCTGAGGCGGCGGGCTGGGCAAGGAGGGGAGGCCAGTCTCTTACTTGGTCTGCGGTTTCTTCTTTGATGGAAGAACAGGATTCCGCACAGGATGAAGACAAGAAACATGCCGGAGAAGGTCACGAAGATTCGGACACAGTCTGAACTGCACAGGGCTCTTTGGGCTGTGATAGGCAAGGGAGCCCAGAGGCTTTGCAGGAGGGTCTAACCCTGGACTCCCTCAGCTCAATTGGTCCTTTCCCTCATCATCACCCCCTGCTGGACCAGTCCCCATCTCCTAATCTCTAACTAACTAGACTGTGTTATCCCCTCCTTTGCCTCCTGCTCTGCCTGCCTGCCTGCCTGCCTGTCTGTCTGTCCACCACTGTCTCTCTTCTTTGTGTGTAGTGAGTGCTTGTGTGTGCATTCAGAGTCTGGCTGCTCCCTTGAGACAGGGTTCCTCTCTGAACTGGAAACTTGGCTGTTCCAGCTAAGGTGGCTCTGTCTCTGCCTCCGAATGCTAAGGTTAGCGATGTCCTTAGCTCATGCTTGTGCAGCCAGCATCCTTGTGCACTGAACTTTCTCTGTAGCTCTATACCCCTATCCCTAACCCCATGCTTAGGGTTTCCCAGTGCTGCCCTCTTGGCCTCTTTCCTTTGCACTTTTCTCTGAGGGATGGGTACTCTGAGGGAGAAAACTTACATGGCCAGTGGTTATAGAGAGTTGAGGCAGGAAACTGCCTGGTGTATACAGGCCAGACCGTCCTGGCCTCTGCCATCTCTGGAAGAAACAGACAGAATGAATTACAGCAGGACACCCCCACCCCCACCCCCAGGATGCACCGGGCTGACAACCTGTGTTTGAACCTAATTGCGGGGTAAGTGCGGAGCAGAGTGGTCAGTGCTAGGTAGGCTGGTTCCCTGCCCCCAAAGGACCAGACCAGGGGCAGCCTGCTACATACCTTGGGCATAAGGTAAGTGGGTGGGTTGTGGTTGTGGGCCTGGGGCCACAGATGGCTGTATGGTCAGTTCAGGGTTTAGAGGAGGGTCACACTCTGTACATTCCTGGTCCCTGCACCGCCAGCCCTTGGAGCAGGCGCACTCAGCATTGCCAGCAATTGTGCAGTTTCGAATGAGAAGACCTTGGGAGAAGGGAGGGCCAGGAGGGACAGCATTGAGCAGGCCTTTAGGGACCCGAGGTTTCTACTTGCCCTGACCCTCACCAGAGAACCAGTCAAAGGGTATGAATGCTTCCGTTCCCATCACCTCATCCTTACCCACCCTCTCCCTCCCTCACTACCACTGTCTTGCTATTGTTTTTGAAGAACGGTTGCCAGAAAACTCACAGGCTCAGAAACAGAAACTGAAAGTGGAAAATTGTGTGATTTCCTTTCCTACTCGCTGCTACTTTAAAGCTTTTTATTAGTGTGTAGGGATATTCTTCTGTAGGGGTATTCACATCCTAAGTACAAAGTTTAAGAATCAGTGTGAGAGACAGAGCAATGGCTCAGCAGGTAAAGGTACCCGATGCCAAACGTGACAACCCAGGGTCAGTCCTTGGGACCCACATGTTGGAAGAAGAGAACTGACCCCTGCATTGTCCTCTGTGGCTGGCATGCACTCCTTCCACACGAGTGAATAAATAAGGAAATGTAATTTAAAAGTTAAAAACCATTTTCCAGGTGTGGTGGAGCACACCTTTAATCCCAGCACTCCGGAGGCAGAGGCAGGAGTTTGGGGCCAGCTGGGTGTGAGTTCCAGGACAGCAGGGGGCTACATGGTGATTTCATGTCTCAAAAAATAAATAAAAATTAGACTCACAGGTATAACCAGCAGCAGATCAAGAAACAGCAGATAACCAACACTGTTTTCTTTTGTCCTCTCCCGGTAACAAAGCTTTTACAACGTGGCTGTTACCATGACTTCCGTCACCATAAAACAACTGTGCCCATATCTGTGCTGTGTGGATGGAATCATGCCGTGTGACCTGACTCCTATCTGACTTCTTTATGAATTTCACCTATGCGGCTGGCTCTAACTACAGATCATTCTTTCTCATGGCTGTATAGTATTCCACTGTATGGATATACCACCATGCATGCATCTATCCATTCTGCTGCCTGTGGACATTTGAGAAGCCTCTAGTTTTTAGTCATTAGGAATGGGGTCCCTATGATTCCTGGTATGTTTTAACTTTACTAGGGACAAACTTGAGTGTAGGCATCCGTTGCCCTTAAAATAGAAAGTTTAGTCTAGTGCTGGGAGCTGCCAATCAGTTATGTCAGGGGGTGGGGTGCTGTGCTGGACTTGCAGGTTGTTGGGGTTGGGGTGGGGGTGACTCCCTGGAAGGTGACAGCATTTGGATGTGGGACAACAATCTTGGGAGTCCTACAGGTAGGAAAGGGATATAGAAAACGCTGGATGGCAAACAGCCGCATCAGCTCTTAACAGTTTTCTTTTGCTTATGGCTTGCCAGAAAGAAGGACAATTCCACTATGGTCCCGTGGCCTCTTTTCTGAATTCTGATCAAGTTGCTACGAGAACTTAGTGTCTTTGTGGCTTGTCAGTAATTGTGACCCAGCCTAGACCAGGATCTGCTCAGGAAGAGTGGGAGAAGCTTGGGGAGCGAATGGGGGTGGTGGTGGGGGGTAGGGGATGGTGAAAGAGGCTAGCTCAGGACACTGCTGGGCCGGGCTGCTGACAGGTGGATGATGTGCTGTTGTCTCAGTTGGGAATACAGGGGACCTATGGATCCTTACAGTACCTGAACTGAGCACACAATTCCCCATCTTAAAGATGTGAGCGCCGGGGTCTGGCAAAGGCTGACCCCGTGGGTCTGCCCCCTTTGCCTAGCTCTGGCTGCCTGATACCTTGGGTTAGGCTGAGACCTGCAGGCAAGGGTGGAAGCCTAGGACACAGTGAGGGGTTGAGGGCGGACTGGGTATCAGCAGAAGGCTTCTGACAAGAGCCGGGGGCTTGCATTAAGGAATTCCCACCCTGTGGAGGCTGCTGCCAGGGAGAGAGAATCTTATTTCTAAGTTGCTTCAGGAATGTTTCTGTTGCTTTGCTGGGCATGGTGACACATGCCTTTAATCCCAGAATTTAGGAGGTAGATGAATCTCTGGAAGAGGCTGCTTAGTCTCTGTAGTGCTCCAGGCCAGCCTGGGCTACATAGAGAAAACTTGTCTCAAAAGTCAAAAGCAAAACTAACCAACCAAACAACAACAAAATGATGTTGCTTTTACTATGATTTTTTTCTCCTTGGTGTATAAAAATATGGAATGTTTGGTGAATCTGTGTGAAAATTAACCGTGTTAATTTTATTTGTATTATTGTCCCAGTTTCAGTATATGTGTGGCCCAAGTGAGCCCGGGACTATGACTAATATCCTTTAATGCTGTGCTGGGGATCCAGCCCATTCACCGAGTTATGGAAGAAAGTTTGTTTTTGAGACAGGGTTTCTCTGTGTGTCTATGGCTGTCTTGGAACTAGCTATAGAGGCCATGCTGGCTTTAAACTCACAAAGATTCACATGCCTCTGCCTCCCAAGTGTTGGGATTAAAGGCATGTGACACCATGCCTGGCCTGATGCTTTGTTTTTTTAAAGAATATAATATTAAACTGGGCAGTAGTGGCACACGCCTTTAGTCCCAGCACTTGGGAAGCAGAGGTGTGTAGATCTCCAAGTTCCAGGAACACACTGGTCTACAAAGTGAGTTCCAGGACAGTTGGGGCTACTCAGAGAAACCCTGTCTTGAAAAACCAATTTTAAAAAAGAGAGAGAGGATATAATATTAAATGACAATGTTGTGAAGCCACACAGTTTAGTCACAACTAAGTCGTTGGATACAGAAAAAATTTTTACTTATATGAAATTTTTAACACTTGGAAAAATAACAGTTTGATTTAGGTGCAGTGTAGTATTTCTGAAATCCCCACAGACAAGACTTTTATTATATTTGCCTCAGTGTAACCATCAGGGATGGTCCTGTTAAATTGCTTCCACTTCCAGAACATATTCTCTTCTGACGTTATTAAAATCAATTTCTACTTCCTACAGGCTTTTTTCAACAGCAATTAATCCCCCCCCCATGTTGACAGTGTGTCTCGCTGGCAACCATTATTTCAAAGGGGCCTCTTTAGAGTGTGCTATTCTAGTGTACGCAGACTTCCTGAATCCCTAGCAGAGGTGGGGAGATGGTTGCAGAGTCTGAAAACTGATATACCCTACCTCTTCATTCACAGACAGCGGAACTGAATAGTTAGGAGAAAGGACAGATCTATTTGCGCCCCCCCTGCCAAAATGGCTTTTGTGCAAAAAGGTTGTTACCCTGTGGCTTCTGGTGTTATTTCCTAACTCCAAATTCTCAGCAGCTGGCCTGCAAATGTACACTGTGGGAGCATGGGAACACAGGATGTTCGTTGGCTGGAAGTTGCTTTTCTGAGACCTGGGTTTCTGGAACTATCCACCCTTAAATTATTTTTTCCCCACTTTTTTCTTCTCTTTTCTTTTCTCCTCCCTTCCCTCCCTCTTTCTTTTGCCCTTCCTTCCTTCCTTCCTTCTTTTCTTTCTTCCTAAGACAGCTGTGTAACAGCTCTGGCTATTCTGGAACCTGATTTGTAGATGAGGCTGCCCTTGAGCTCATAGCCTGCCTCTGGAGTGCTGGGATTAAAGGTGTGCACCACTATACTGGGAAAATGATATTTTTTCATTTCCATGTGTACTCATGCACACATATGAGCTCAGAGGAGAACTTACCAGTTGATTATTTTCTTCTACCATGTGGCCCAGGAAATGAACTCAGGTGGCAAGACTTGCTGGCAAGTATCTGCCTACTAAGCCATCTTGTTGGCTTTTTTTTTTTTTTTTTTTTTTTTTTTTGAGATAGGGTCAGGCTGTCCTTGAACTTCTGTGACCAAGTGATCCTCCTGCCTCTACCTGCCTTGTAGTTAGGACTGTGGACATGCACCACTGTACCAGGCAATATCACTGTTTTTATAGTCTCAAATCCTATCTAGAGTCCTTCTCACTGATCCCTGAAATCTACATGTCTTCCATGAAACACTAGATGTCTTTCCACAAGCCCTGCCCAAGGCGCAGCGTGTCTCAGCATCGACCCCACTTCCCATGAGCCCTGAAGCAGATGAAGCTCTCTGATTCCAAGCCCTCTGGCTTCTGCACACCATTCGCTCCAGCAGCCTTGCAGCCCCGGACCTGCTCAGTGTCACCTTTTGCACACCCTGCCCCGCTTACCAGAGTTACAATGCCTGCAGCTCTCACAGTGGGGCCGGGTGTGGTAGTCCGGAGAGAAGGAGACGCCTGGGATACACGGGTCACACAGGGCAGCTGTTCTGTTCTGGCTACAGTCACTTACAAAGAAAGTACCTGTGAGCAGAGGGTCCGGAATCAGGTCCAGGCCAGGTGATTCCTAACCCCATGCGCCTCTCTTCTTAAACAGCCTCTCCCCAGGCCTGCTGAGGAGGCCTCCTCTTACCTGGCTTACACAGCTGGCAGCACAATCCTCCCCGAGTCCAGTAATGTCTGTCTGGACAGCTCTTGGAAGCTGGAGTGGCTGAGAGCCCTACCAAGGTCCCCAGCAGGCAGAGCCAGTAGGGAGGTAACCAAGCCATGGTTCCTGCCCAGCGAGGTCTTTTCTGAGCCCCAGCTGTTGTTGCCTTGGCACTAATGCCAACTCTGTGCTCTGGGCAGCTGCCGTAGAGCCTCCACTTGGGTGGTAAGTCAAGCTCTGGTGGCAGTTGTGGCTGGCTGGTGAGTGTGTGTGTGTGTGTGTGTGTGTGGTTTTTTTTTCCCCTCACAGCAGCCTAGCAGCCTCCACCCCCCACTTTTTCTTTTTCTCTCTTTCTTTTTTTTCCCCCCCCCGCGCTCTGGAGAGACTGACGGGGCAAACCCCCAGCACTATTGTTCTTTACAGACACGTGCCCTCCTTGGCTTCCACCACCCTCGCTCAAGAAGCCAGTGCCTAACCCACCTGCGTATGCTGCTTTTACAGGGGAGGGTGCTGCGTGCTCACAGGGCTGCGCACTAGATGCCCTCATCTGTCCCAGTATGTCTCCTCCCTCACAGAGAATGGGAGTAAAGGAGCCAGACTGCACACTACTGCTGAGGTTTGTAGAGTCAGATTAGTTTTAGAATCACGACACTTTCAGAGTCTGCATAAAACTAGCGCCACAAACCATCCCATGAGGGTGGAACAACACAACTAAACACAACGTAGTTTTGGGAGCTGGTCTCGTCTACCCCAAGGCAGCCTCACATTTGCTGTGCAGCTGAGGGTGACTTTGAACGTCTGACCTTCCTGCCTCCGTTCCCTGAGTGCTGCTGTTGTTACGGGGTGTGCCACCATGCCGCTGCTGCTGTTACTATAGGGGCATGCCATCACGCCATTGCCACTAATGTAACAAGGGTGTGCCACCATAGCAAGTGAATGTGGCACTAAGGATTGAACCCAAGACTGTTCACTTCCTTGGCAACTCCACTACCCCTAACACAACACACATGCAGCGACACTATTGCGTGTCCAGAGGGAGGTGTCACGAAGACAACCAGACTTGTGTAACTGAGGTTTGCTTTTATGGCCACACAAGCTCTTCCAGCATTGCTTATAATTAAAGGCCAAGAGTTAGTCCTGTGTCTTCTGTGTCCCTTTCTGTGCTGTAAGATCACCCTGCAGTCTCTCTGTGTGTGCATGTGTGTGTGTGTACAGGTGCTTATGTGTGTGTGGATGCACATATGTGTGCATGTGTATAGAGGTCAGGAGATAGCCTTGGTTTCATTCCTCAGGCACATCAATGATTATTGATATTATTGTTTTTATTATTTCGAAGTAGGATTTCTCACTGGCCAGTAGAGGAGGCTGGCTGCCCAGCAAACCTTGGCTCCTCCCTTTTCCACTCCTTCAGCATGAGGTTTGGGAATCAAACTCAGGTCCTTGCGCTTTCCTGCTGAGCTGTCCCTCCAGCCAGATTTCCTTTTTGCTTAATGCCAGTCCGTGAGGCAGATCTGGCCCACTGCCCGTCAAGACCCTTTCCAGCTCTCCTGCTTTACTTAATCCCACTTTTAATCTTCCTTCCTGCTTCTGGCTGGGTTGATCACTGATGTGCTCAGGCACCTGAACCATCAGCCCTGTCATGGCCTGGTGTACCTGGGATTAAAGGTGGACTCCTATATGGACCACCCTAAGCCTGTTGACTGGCTCCTCCGGGAAATCGGATGAGGATCTTGGAGTCTCTGTGCTTGCTATGCACGGACCGTTGAACTCCCCCACTCTTTCCAGTGACTTATCTCAAGCACACGTCTCATTTGGGGGCTTCACAGTTGTTTCCACACTGCTGGTGAAGTGTCACAACCCTGTGGTCACACCTGGGGGATGTTAGCTCTGTTCTCTGTATCTTCTGCTTCAGTTTCCTGCCTCTTCATTTTTTCCGCCCTCCTTCCTTCCCGCCACCCCCCCTCCCTGCCGCCCTTCAAGGGTCCGCTCAAGCCAGGAGGCACAGGGGTTAGGGTTCATAGAGTTGTTCAAGGAAAACCACCCTCTACCATGTGCCCTTCATAGACCATGACAGCTTTGTGACTGGAGGAATTCGGTTCCTCGTCCCCAGGCTCCAATATCTTCAGCGTTAATCATGAATCTTAAGGCAGATGTGACAGGGGTGGGTAGCTGACAGCTGGCCCTGCAGGAATAGGTGTGACCTTGGCATTCAGGAACTTCACAGAGAAAGTGGCTGCAAGGGGGCCTGGAGTACACTGAGAACTTAACATCCTGAGCAGACCATGAACTGCGTGCGCATCCAAGGCCTCCATTCTTAGAGTCAAAGGCTGCCTTCCTCCTCTACGTACTCCTTCACAAGGGTCAGGACCGGAGCAGGGCTTGCCTGGCTCTCCTGGAGTAACCGCAGTGTTATGCTTTGGTGTGAATTGTCTCCCAAAGGGTCATGAATTGAAGCCTTTATCCAGAGCAGTGGTGCTACTGGGAGGTAAGCTAGCTTCATCTATGGGGTTCTTTGATGAGTTCATGACTAACTAGGAAGTGGGGGGCAAGTCGAAGTTAGTGGCTCTCTGGGATCAAGCCTTTGAAGGGTCCTCAGGCCCTTCCTTCCTCTCTGTCTCTCTCTGTGCCTCTACTTTTTAGCTGCCATGAGGTGAGTGGTTTTACTCTGAAAAGTGCTTCTTCATCACAGGACTGGAAACAATGGCATCAGTTAATCATCTCTGACATCTCTGAGACCATGAGCCAAAAACAAGTCCTTTCTCCTTTGAAGTTCTTTGTGCAAGTACTTTGGCACAACCATGAAAATGGACATGCCACCTTTCCTCTCCATATTCTTTTAACCTTATAAAATGGGAATGCTGAAGCTAGACATGGTCGTGCATCTGTCTATGGTTCTAGGTCCTCAGGAGACTGAGTGGGAGGGTCATTTGAGTTCAGGAGTTCTAGACTATCCTGGCCAAAATAGTGAGACCCTGTCTCTCTCTCACACACATACACATACACACAAGATAAACAAAAATTCTATACCTCCTAAACAATAACGCCCCAATTTTCCCTCTTCTTAGCTCTTCATATCTTATTGATATTTGTGTTTCTTCTGTGGAGAAATGTTTATTAAGTCTTTTGCTCATGTTTTAATCCTTTTTATTACAGTTATTATTTTAGATGCTAATCTTTTATTGGAAACATGTTTTTTGAAAATATTTTTAATAATTTAAACATTTTTAAAAATTAATAGTTTATTTATTTAATGTGTATAGATACTTTTTTCCCCCTCCCCTGGTGGGAATGAAGATATCATTTGCCTACAGAACTATTTGTAAAAATGGTGCTCAGGAAAACTGGAATTTCCCCAGGAATCTCATGTTGGAAGAAGGAAAAGGCTAGAGCTTATGCCAGACAGAGGAGGCCTTGCCTCAAATATGTTAGATGGAAAAGGTCAATTAAAAACACTGCTGAGTCAAGGGTGTCACAATCCACAGGTTGAGAACACTGATATATACTCATTGTATATATTGGGTGCACTCTGTTTTTCTCTTTCATGGAGCATCTTTCTGTTAATAAACACAAATTTGTTTCATATTAAAAAAAAAAAAACCACTGCTGAGTCAAAGTTGCTAATCACTTGATCCTGAGATGGGATGCTTATCTTACATCACCAGGTGGACCCAATGCTATCATATGGCTTCCTCTCTCTCTCTCTCTCTCTCTCTCTCTCTCTCTCTCTCTCTCTCTCTCCCTCTCCCCCCCTCTCACTTGTTTCTCTGTGTAGCCCTGGCTGTCCTTGAACTCACTCTGTAGAACAGGCTGACGGGGAATCCAGAGATCCACCTGACCTTCCTCTCAGGAAGGGATTAAAGATGTGCACAGTCAACTGGGCGCGTCTCAGTGGTTTCCACGTGGAAACAGAAGAGCAGAAGAGGTGGCCACCTGAGGACTCAGCCCAACATTGCTGATTTGGAAGATGAGAGATGAGAGCTATGAGTCTCAGGGTGTCCAGGAAGAACCAATCGCAGCCCAGTGACCCTGATTGGAACAATCCAAGAGAGACCCACCTTGTCCTGTTTTGCTATGCTGGGGACTGTAGTCAGGGTCTCACATGTGCTAGGCAAGTGTTCTACCATTGGGCTACATCGTTAGCCTGAGGCTTAGCTAGACTTCTGGCTTATAGAACCTGGAGGCAGGAACTGATGCAAAGATCACAGAGGAACATGGCTTACTTCTTATGGCTTGCTTAGCCTGCGTATTTATACCAGCCAGAACTAGCTGTCCAGGGATGGCACTGCCCCCAGTAAGCTGGACCCTTCTATAGCAATTAGCAATCAAGAAAATGGCCCACAGACCAATCTAATCTGATGGAGGCTCCCTCTTCCCAGATAGGTCAAGCTGAAAACCAACATTAGCCACCACAGTGGCAGAGTTCTTATCTACCACGTTCAAAATGTTGCATTTTGTTCAGACCTCTGACCCCAGAAACTGGAAAGCAGTTAGACTTACACAGTTCATCGAGGGCACATTTTTTTTTTTCATAAGCTGGTCATTAAAATCAAATACTCCCTGCACTTAGAGACAAATCTGTTAATCACAGTATAAAAAGTATTGTGGTAAGAGTTGTAAAATATAATGAAACCCTTGGGGCTGGGGAGGTGGCTCGGTGGTTAAGAGCACTACTAGCTGTTCTTCCAGAGGACGCAGATTCAATCCCCAGCACCGGCATGATGGCTCACACTGTCTGTAACACCCTTACACAGGCATACATGCAGGCAAAACAAAACAAAACAAAACAAAAAACGTGTGAAGTAAAAATAAATAAAAAAATGAAACACACCGAATCTCATTGCTCTTACTAAATATATTAGTCTTAATGTTTTCTCAAATTGTATAAAACGTTGCTATGTATTAATATTTTAGTCACAACAAATCTTTTATAGTGCAAACAAGCAAACATTTTTATCTTTATTGTTCTCCCCATACTTATCTTATACGTATGTTTTTAATATCTCTATAGATGTATATAGGATTTGTATTTGAGGGTGCGAATATGTGAGTATAGTTTGTATAACTGGAGCCATATACTGACTAACCTGAAGACTTCTTCCCTGCTGGCTAGCTTTTACAGTGCCAGAAGGCACTATGCTGCCCAAGGGGGGAAACATCACCAAGGGCATTGCCCAGAGTGACTATTGAATGCTACTGTACTGACCCGCCTGGCAAGGTATGGTCCACTGGTGTAATAGTGGTATGAAAACA